TTTCACTTGTACAAACACTCACTGAGTCTAGCAACTTCAGGTGTGATGTGTTTGATGAGCTGAGGAGACGTCTTTTTTTTCCAACAGAGACACACTCAACTTCAGCGTCGTTGGATGGTTGACGTTCTTCTTGAATCACAGAGACGTTTTACACGCCTTCATGGTTCTGGATCTGGTCCAGCTTCCACTCGACCGTTACGATAAGATGGAAGCTCGGTTATTGTTCCATAAACTCGCCGTGGTATGTCTGACTGTTAGAGGAACTAGGATGAATCCTTCACTCATGTCAGACTGTTCCACCTGTTAATCAGGTATTCGATTTTCAGCATCTTCTGGGACCCGGTTCATTGACACTGAAGTAGTGACGTCGTTACTCCAGGTTTCACCTTCTCCTTCTCACGGTGAAATCACAATGATAAAAGTCCATAGAGAAACAGAAACGTAAAGATGAGTGATCCGAGTTCTTATCAAAATACTTTTTATTTTGAAGGTCTACACAGACCTCCATGAATCTGAAGTTAACTGGTGAGATGGAGATAATGAACTGTAATCTATAAAGACACATCTAGAGAAAACCAGCGTACAGTGTCAGCGAGTGGTTTGTACATCACTTATATAAACATTTTTTAAGATGGAAATAAGTTCGACTTTTGCTACTAAGACAAAATATGGTCTGTTTTTAAGAATAAAGATCGGAAATTGATGGATTTAGATATGTCACTCGCGGTTCTTCCATCGTTTGCTCTAGTACCCATTGGTCTTATACTCTATTCCTTCTTTTCATCTTATTTTCCTATTCAACCTTATGCATTCAGTATTTAACTTATTATTTTTTTGCTCTCTAGTAAAAAACACGCATGTGCACCCCAGTCATTCTTGTTCTAAGCCCAAGGAGTTAAGTTCTCTCAATTTTCTGTATTGTCATTAATTTTCATCTTTTGTGTTATTGAGGGAGGTCCAATATCATCCCGTATGCATTTATTGTCAGTGTGAAGTCTGTGGATTGTATTTTACTGTGACAATTCAGCTTGCAATTTACTAGTTAGATGAATTGGATGAGTTGGTGAATTGATTATTGTGAATTGAACATGCTAAACCAATGAAAAATCCCAATATAAAAGACTGACCGACGAACTATTACTGCACTCTGTAAAAGTAGATTAAGTAAGCACAGCAATATCTAAGAATCAAACCACATAAAAAGAATGGTTCGGTCTTAGATCAATCAGGCTAAAGTATAAATCATTCAGAAAACTCATAGTTATGACCTTTAACTTTTTAATTCCTACCAGATGATTTCGTAACTAAATATCAACCTGAGTAAACAATAAAATCAAATGAGGTAATCTTGGGAATTTAATCTTCACCCAAGGAGCATTACAAAATGTATCCAAGCCTAACTATATCCTCTAATCACCTTAAAATGAAGTCTGACATCTCCAGATGGATATCACTTTACTTTTTCTCAAGTCTAACTTCAAGGATGTTGAATCAGTCAAAATGGTGAATTTGTTGCCCCGCTGTTGTATCTTTTCCTATCGGCTTACCAATTGAAATAGAGTGATCGACAGTTCTTGAATGGCAGAAATGAATTTCTCCCATATATCTGGATGGGTAAATAAACCAAGGGTAAAATTTAAAGTAATTGCTAACTGTTCATAAAGAACCAAGGGAGGAATGGCGCTTGCCTAATTTAAAAAGATTACTACTGTGCGGCTCAGATTAAGAACCCTGGTGGGTAATCTCTGTGACTCGCAGTCAGGGGCCAGGTGGAAGAATAGAAGAGGCAGGCTCTGCAGGTCCACCCTGTACAGGCAGTAATGCTCAGCAGAAAACTTATAACAGTTCTGGCAAAATAAGAAATACCCCTGATTAAAGTATACACTAAACACCTGGCACAAGGTCGTTAGGAAAATACAGACTTAAAGGTGCAGAACGACATATTACGCTGATGTGCTTATGACACCGGGTTTTATTCCAACAGGGACAGACAATAGATTTAAACTGTGGACAGAGAGCGGTCCCTTACGGCTTACTGGTTGTGCTTTATATCACAATGGGTCTTGGGGGGTTTTCGGCGATCTCAAAAGGGAATATGAATTTGAGAGGCAGGATATTTTTTCAGATACCTCCAAGTAAAGGAAATCGATTACAATACGAATTTTGAACAGAGGACCAGAGCAGGGTTGATATCCTTGATAGGTTTTCGTTTCTCAATTTATTAAATCTGGGGAGTGGAAAGAATATAATATCTAGATTATACAAAGGCTCCAGAACTCCCCGAATTGGAACAGTCCCTGCATATTAACAATGTTAAATGGAAAGGGAGGGAGATTCGGTCATAATCTGGGGATGATATGGGAAACATTTGTAACATTACAATGGATAACCACAACTTCACACAACCGGCGAGAGTTTGGATGGAAAAACATTGTGTTTTTTATGAACACCTGCCTCAAAGATGACACCAAAGGTAAATGGACAAGTTGTTGAGTGGGGTGTGGGCCAAATGTGTGCCAACCATATTATCTATCTCTTTTGGGGTTTCCAAAACTTTCATCTTTCCTGTCATTGCA